CGTATGTCCTACTTCGTGGTCCGGTTCGGCAATAATAGGCTATTCCACGACATGACGGAAGAGACACTTCGCGCGCACCGACCCTCGCAACTGAACAGCCCGTCCCCTATCAGTGCCGAACTGAACGTATACAACGACTACTGGAGCGATAAACTGGCGTGCGATGTAACTAAAGTGATCGAGGTCGGTGGGGATGATGGACTCACGCAGGTGTCGTTCCGGTGCGATCAACCAGACACGGAAACCGGGTATATTTGCCAGATTAGTTCAATTAACCTAGACACTATCTGTACACTCTATTTATGTAGCAAAATTTAATATATTAAATACTAATAAACCATTGTTGGTCAAATCACCTATGCATTGTCCACAAAAACCCGTGTTAATACTACTAATTTAGTTTACACATTGTTTACTAATTTAGTAGTATTAATACGGGTTTTGTTGACATTGCATAGATCATTTGACCAACAATGGTTTATTATACACACTATTATGTTTAGAAATTATTTTGTTTTGGGTACCTTGGTTGTCAAATGACCTATACATCAATTGACATATGGTATTAAAACAAATATATTATTTGATGCATAGGTCCGTGAAAAGTGGCGGACAGACAGTCTACACGTCCAGTAGTTCAGGGTATCACATGAATAGCCACTCCATCGATATAAAGATCAATTCAGACGCCTTTCACGAGAGCTTTCACTCGACTAATACGACACACGTTATGTTGTGCGGACTCATGCTATTCAAGGGACCCGACGATTGTGGTCTACCCGAGGAGGTGCCCAACGCCCAGATCATTGCCAGCCATAGTGAGGGGTATGTGAGGTATAAGTGCGACGATGGCTACAAATTGGTGGGCAATGAGATTGTCCGGTGCAGCAAATTAGGCAATTGGATGGTCAGTATAAACCATAAACTTAGCATGTTAAGTAAATTTCCCTTGTATTTATAGGTGAATCTATAATTTCATTTTTAAAAATATAAAGAATCTAGGCATAAATAATTTATTTTAGTATTTTGAAGTGATAGCACTCCATACTAATACTGGTACAGGGCAAATAATTATGCATATAGACTAATAATTACAGTTTTAATTTACAGCTAGCTTAATATTTAACATATTGATCCACAAAGTACGTAGGGGTGGGGGATCATGCCAAGGCGTATGTCCCCATGTTAAACTCCTATGTACGATGGGCGTGTAGGGGGGGAGGGGTCAATTTTTGAGCAATATGTGGCGTACGTACTTTATGGATGACGCCATAATAATTTTTTAAAATAAAATTTGATATATATTATTATATAATATGTACCAGGACACATTTCCGAGGTGCGAGTTATACGAATTGTGCGAAATGAACAAAACGGCAACAAATGGTGTTTTACAGCGAAAATATTTCAATACAATGATTGTAAAGGGCCGGGAGGTGGCCGTATTGGGCACCATTATCGAGTTCACTTGTCTAGGTGAAAACACCAAGACTGGAAAGCATATTATGATAGGTCCCAGGTCGATTGTATGCACCAAATCCGGGCAATGGAGTACGAATGAGCCTACATGTGCAGGTATAAATTACTTAAAAAATAATTAATTAAGAATCTATTAACCATATTCCCGCGCAAACACCGGCATGCCGTTATAAATGAGGTTAATCATTTTAACAAAAATGGTTTTATGATACCTTACCGGCATGCCGGTATAAAGTGAGGTACATAGTTATGAATAGTCATGTATAAGCTTGAACCATACCTATTCTAGTACTAATTTTACTTATATTCATATGTTTTTCTAGCATACAACTATTTATACAATGAAACGAAACAATAAGATGTTAAAATTAATAAGATATTTGGGTTAAATATATTTTTAACGTATTTAAATAACAAAATACTAATAGTTTTTAAAATATTAAAAACATATTTCAAACCTCACTTATTACCGCATGCCGGTATACCCCGGGGTATAACGGCAATCTCATCAACCTCATTTTACACCGGCATGCCGGTATTTGCGCGGGAATACGGTAAAAAGTTTATTAAATTAACAAGCTTACTTTTGTATGTAAGATGACATCTATTATCTAAAAAATGGTACGCCTCCTAAATCTGAGAGCTCCAGTAGTATAGTAGCACCGATTATTATATCCATGGTCGTCCTACTAATCATCATTTGCATGGCTGTGCTATTAATTATAAGTTACCAGCGCTACGGTTATGTGAACCCATTTATGTTATGTATGATGAGTCGGGTGCCGACACCCAGTTCCTCATCGTTCATGAATAAAAACGACCGAAACCTGAGGGACTCAGTAAATGGTGGCGCCAATAGGGACAGCCTATCGGCCGGCAATTCCTATACGAATAGCAATAATAATATCTCAAATGGGAGACGGATTTCAAATTTGATGAATATATGAATAAAATTATTACATAACCATGCTTATAATGTCATAGTATCTATGTTATACTAAATATGATAGGTATTTATGGGAATACAAGTTACAATAAATGTGATTTTACTCGTGTAGATTTTATATACCAAGTTTCCATCAATAAATAAATATTATTAAAATAATATTTATGGTACAATTCAATGAATATAAATTGCTTAATGCAAAAGTGATTGACTTTCAACAAAATACATGTATTTAAAAAATAAATAAAATGACTGCAAATACTGTGCAAATAAAGTTTTAATACCTCATATGAGCCCTGAATTCAAAGCCTGGGATTGATATTTAACTCGGATTTCAAACAAAGGATTTTATAAATCCTGATATTGAAGGCAAAATTGAGGTCATTTGTGAAATAGACTCAAATGTTTTGGGCCAAAACTTATAAGTATCAGGTTTACATTTTGAAAACAATTTTCTAATTATCTATTGTCTATTAATATTTTGTATTTAATTGAATATATAAAATATTTGCAGAACGTTTTATATATTGTACACAAATTAATACATAAAATTTTAATTGAAATGACGTTCTTATTAAATAAATGGTGTGAATTTCGTGATTTGTGTGAAAGTTTAGACAAAATGCAGTGTTTTTTGTCACAAAATGCAAGTGTTTTGTGTGAAGG